CCTCGGCGGCCTCTTGTGAGTTCTGGTCAGGAGAATCCTGGTTGTGAAGGTCCAGCCCGGTGAGGGAGGCGCGGTCACTCAGAGGAGTTCCACTTCCTCCATCACTGCAGCTGCTCTCAGAGAGGCGGCTCCCGCTGCTGCTGTCTGAGGAGAAAAACGCGTAAAAGTCAGTGGTGAGGGTCAGTCTGGACCGCCCGTGAATCCCTGACCGCTGTCCGCTCGCCTTGCCGCCTCCTCTTCTTCTTCTTCACCCGGATGGCCTTCACCACCAGCTCCTGGTGCATCTCCTCCTGGCCCAGGGGGGCGCTGTAGCGTCTGGAGCCCTGCTCAGAGGAGCCGGTGGCCGGAGTGTTGCCGTGGAAACTGTCCCAGGAAGTGACCGAGCTGCCCGACGGAGGGCACAGCTCCAACCCCTACGCAGACACACACGGGGAACACACAGAAAGAGACACTAGTTCGATCAAAAGCCGAAACGTAGACAGCAGTTTCTGCCCCAAAAATGACCAGACGTGTTACATTGCTGTTGCATTGTGACGCACAATAATAATTTTAAGAAAGGAAGTAGTTCTCCAACCTGTTCGTTACAGTCTGTAACCGCTTTTCAAACCAACTAGATAAACAAATAGGTAAACAAACAAGTGCACTGACATTTCATAAATTGGTATGTTAACCAACCTATGAATCGAACCAAATAACAGCACGTGTTCTCTTACTGTGCATTACAATAGCGAGATGAGTTCACTACAGTTTTTCTACTAAACAGATCCAAGTGATCTGAGAAGACACTGATTTCACTTTATTATTTTCATTTACTGATAGAACTTCGGAACTGACTTCCTCTATTTCGGTATCTCTGTGGCTGAAAGTCCAGGTAAGACCATTTAGTGTTATGGATGAAATTCTGATGGAGCAGTCCTCCAGATGCCAGAAAGTAAGGACTAGATTTAAAGAGAATTACTTAGACAAGTTGCCAATCGTCCCTGCGGTTGTGAGTAAATGGGGGTGGAGCAATGAGTCCTCGGTGAGAGAGATTCGGGAGGGGGAGTACCTTGTTCATACGTGTGTGTGGAAGTTCAGTGTGGGAGAACTTGTACTTGGCCTGGGTCCCACTGAGGATCACTTTGTTCTTTGGTTCTTTCTCAACGAGGGAATGTTGGAAGACATGCATGGCAGTGTGTTACGAAAGGTAACCCTGGTCAGAGGGGACCTGGTACCACATACACCTGAAGAACCTGCCTCGAAGGTACAATAACCAGTAGGGATGGGAATCTTCACCACCAAGGCGATACGATACACATCTCGA